TGCCCACTTTCCAGTTTTTGCCCTTTTTTAGGGACCCCCCCCCCGTTCCCCCCCCCCAACGAAAAATATTAAAACTCATTGGTAGGAAAGTGACCATGTCACCACCCATTCTGTTCTTGTACTTCAATTTTTCATTCTGCATTCTTTGTCTGACAAACCTTTAGGGTAGTCTCCCTATCACAACAGGCTCGTTATAAAATACCAACCTCATATACACATTAGCACACGTTAAGTATTTATACTATATCTTTTAATACAGTATGTGTATCTTCACAAAATGTGATAACTTGTAGTAAACATTAAAAGTCTTTTGTACACAAAAAATCAGATTTTTTTAATGAAGTACTTTTATTAAAGATTTGTTTGTGAATATATCGAGTCTTGTTTTGTTACTAGTCTGAGTGCAAAGTGATTTTCATGTTATGATTAAAAATACTATTCTTTTCCCAAAAATCTCAAATTTTATTTGTGTAATCACTAAAAACTCGTAAATAAATATAAAACTTATTTTTTCAGTAAAACTTTATATCTTTTCAGTTATTACCTTTACCTTAATGATACACTTGGTTCTTTAGCCTGTGGACAATCATCAAAGTTGTAAAATTAGAAATAAAATGAGCAGTTGTGTCTTTTTTTCTTCCTTATTAGTCCCAAAGTTTCAAAGTACTTCTTTTGAGAGTTTCAACTGCTAAACATTTCACCTATATTTTCTTAGTTTATTTTACTGTCAAAGACTAAAGTAGAAACCTGCTGAAAATAAAGCAGTAAATTGCCCCTTGAATCACTAGACTGTTTACGCGACACTGTGATACAATACCATCGAAAGCAACAAAGCACATGCAAAAAGATAGCTGACTTGACCCCTGCTGTATCAGACTATATATCCTAAAATGTTTTCTTGGAAAATTCAGAGTAACCACACTGCATTTAGAATTGGTGAAAATGTTTATGCTGGCAACAGAACGTGTAACTTATCGACCTATGTACGTATCCTACAGTGTTCACAACATGACTTTTCCAGAGTACTTTGAACTTGTCAAAACATTTATTATGTGGTTCAGTGCTGATACAATAAACATAGCAATTCTTTGATTATTGGTAATCTTTTTTGGGGTGTTTGGAATTTAGAGGCATAGGTGTACAAAGATGTTATTTGAGCACATGCTTATAAAATCCTATTTCTTTATTCAGCACTTATTCATCAACCAATAAAAACTCAGGTTTCAGTACTATGTATGAAACTTGTTTGGTTTTGCAAGCCTTATAAGTCTAAGTCTTCTTTGGAAAACATTCTGACTTTTGTGGCTAAAGTTTAGTTCAGAAGTTCCATTACTCTGAATTGCAGATTATGTTGTAACATACATGTATTCTTTTTCAGTAATCTGCTTTGTTCAGAAGTTCTTCTTTCTTGAAGTTGAAAACACCTTGAGTTCTCTTACCTTGAAGTAAGTAATAATCATTTATAATATATATGCAGAATCTGTGTTCAGTAAATTCAGAATATAGTTGTTGATCAAAATCAAGTATAGCTGTTTTCGTATTTTAGCATCATGTGCTACTTCTGAAATTATGATACAGATCAGAGAATATATATACATGTAAAGCAAAAAAGTTGAGGAGCTGAAGAAGAAAAAATATCTTTCTGAGGAAGAGATTCAGTTCCTTCTAGATTTTTCTTCCTCGTTAGAATAAGAAGTTATTCAGTCAGAGGAATCAGATGTTGAAGTACCTGATGCTTCAATTTCA